CACTGCATGTCTCCCAGAATGAGACACTCTTCCGCATTCATAACTTGAATGCGGAAGTTTGACCGACAAGAGTGCACAATACACTCTTGTCGATCTAAATGTATCTTACAATCAAAGACACTTTCATACAATCTTTTCGAAGTTAAAAAAAAAATTTAATTATTTCTTTCTTTTGTTTATTAAATCGCCTTACTCACGTACTAATCTCTTTTAGAGACTCTATCGAGCTATCCCCACATATAAACCTGTGACAATAATACATATTTACTCTCTTCATATTCTGATCTCATGACACATTATCGCAAAAACTATAATTATACAACACATCTCATAAAGTCTCATTTTAGCCCTATCTAAGCGTTCAAAACCTATTTTCCACACGTAATCTGATTCTTCTGGCTCCGCTGATTCGATTTCTGCTGTCAGATCGTGAAAATATGCATCACATAAAGAGATAAATGCAAATTGCACAACTTAATATTTTCCTTAAAATTTCTCTTCAGGTTCATACCTAAATAAGCTCTTTTTTTGAAAATTCAATTTTTTCCAAAAATGTATGAATTCAAAAGTTCAGATTATATCTAGTCATTTTCCAACATTAATTTTGTGTTTTAGTTTTTGAGATATTCATTTTATTATACGTATTATTCAGAAAATTAAAAGAATTTGTGAGGGGAAACGGAGGAGATAATAAATATGTAAAGATGGATGAATAGACAATTTGAAAAAAAAAGCAATAATTTTGAGTTGTGTTTATCTCTTTATGTGATGCATATTTTCACGATCTGACAGCAGAAATCGAATCAGCGGAGCCAGAAGAATCAGATTACGTGTGGAAAATAGGTTTTGAACGCTTAGATAGGGCTAAAATGAGACTTTATGAGATGTGTTGTATAATTATAGTTTTTGCGATAATGTGTCATGAGATCAGAATATGAAGAGAGTAAATATGTATTATTGTCACAGGTTTATATGTGGGGATAGCTCGATAGAGTCTCTAAAAGAGATTAGTACGTGAGTAAGGCGATTTAATAAACAAAAGAAAGAAATAATTAAATTTTTTTTTTAACTTCGAAAAGATTGTATGAAAGTGTCTTTGATTGTAAGATACATTTAGATCGACAAGAGTGTATTGTGCACTCTTGTCGGTCAAACTTCCGCATTCAAGTTATGAATGCGGAAGATTGTCTCATTCTGGGAGACATGCAGTGACAATGTCTCCCGGAATGAGACATGCAGACCGACAAGAGTGCACAATACACTCTTGTCGGTCAAACTTGCATTCAAGTTATGAATGCGGAAGATTGTCTCATTCTGGGAGACATGCAGTGACAATGTCTCCCGGAATGAGACATGCAGACCGACAAGAGTGCACAATACACTCTTGTCGGTCGAAGTTTTGCAATCGCGTTGTGATTGCAAAAGATTGTGCTATTCCTGCATATTTTCTACGAGCCTGCTTCATAAAATTGAATCCTTCTATCCAAATTAAATGCGATTTCGCTAATCTTTCATCTAAAATCACTAATCAGAAGCATATTGCAAGTTAACTTGAACCGGCATGTTCCTCCTATCCTGTCTTTCAGTTCTTTCTATCAGCCATGGTTCACAAGGAGGAGAGCTTTGCGCACAATCAAACAGAAGATTGCGGCAGAGGAACCGGGAAGAGAGCAGCTTGAAGCGGTAAGCTGTTTTCAAGTCTTTAGTTAACAAACTTTAACAAAAGACATCTAAAAAATTTGAAATAATTGCAAAATAATGCCGTCAGGTAATGCGCACCTAAGGGAGGTGTTTTGCGGGAGCTGGGGGTATCTTGGTGAGTACTCAGGAGGCCAAGAAGGGCACCCCAACCGACATTTTGCTGACGCATTGTGTAAGCAACCATTCTGATAACGCTCAAACCGTCGGGACAAAATAATTTATGAAATTATAAGTCATCTTTCTAATACATATTTTTGGAAGGGCGTAAGATACGCCAACTTAAATATATTATTAAATATGAGAAAATCGCTCAACAAAAAAACAATTCTTTCAAAAAGTTTGACATTGATCTTTCTAATACATATCCTATGGAAGGAGTTTACATTCACAAAATAAAAACCAGTTCAAAATCTTATTACTCCTTGAATTAAAATCATTTAATTTCAAATCCATTCCAAATCCTTAAATCTGTATTAAAATCATTTTGCCAACAACCAACACAATACAAATTACATTTCCATATATCTTCTTGTCCATTTTAATTTTTTATCTCATTTTATTTAATTTTATTTAAAGCATATAGACATCGAGATCCTTTACACATAGTTATATAAAAGTCAAATACATAATAAATTCTTAATTCTAGAGATATCTCAAAATCTCAATTTTTTAATTTAAAATACCTTTCATTTTTCACAGTACTATCACAACAAACAAGCCATTTACTAATTAACACATATAAGAAAAATATCAAATTACAAAACAACTTTCAATATCATTCGCATCGAATTCTATTTTTTCATAATTATCAACTACATGTTATTATATAATATATGTCGGCGCATATTCCACTCTATACAAGTGTCAGATACACTCACACAAAGCTGTGAGATTCATACCTCTATCAGTAGGACTTCTCAAATCAAGAACACATATGTTTCACTATCGCACATCTGTGTAGGATCTAATTAACCCTTTGGACTGGTACTTCAAAATTTGATAATTTGATAATTTCATGTGATATCATCATTTGCCTTTAAAACAACTGTGCGTTAAACTAGACACGTTTCTCTATCATAATGCAAAATATCAAAGTTTGGGAGACTCCCAAAGTGTCTGAAACTGATCATAAGGGTGAAAAACCGTTTTCCAGAAGTTGGGAACGTAGGGTAAATTTATTACACATTTAAAAGCAATCATTACTAATTTGATATTACTAAATTGGATAAAAATAAACTTATGCATTATTTCATGAAAGAATTCCTTATAATTTCTATCTTCAAGCTAAAATATAAGCAATTTTTATAACTAAATGACTTGTAATGCTATATACTATTACTTATTAATGCGATATTCAATAACACATGATTATAAAAGACATTCTAGGAATTATTCTTATTTGTTCATTTTTTGGTTCATTTGAACATGGAAATATAGTACTGAGATTCTTGAGATACAAATTTTAAATGTAAAACTTCAGAACTTCCAAAATTAATTAAAGATATCTTCCTTACCAATATTCTCTTATTTATTCATTGATAAAAAAAGGGGGGACTTCGTCGACAACAAAGGTATCGACCAAAATTGTTCCCATTATGCTTGACATATGAAGTATAGTAATAGTGTGTATGGACTCATAGAATGGCTTTCGTTTGATTTCGAGATATATTATGATCTTCTAAAATATCCATATTTTACTTGATAACGCATATGTTTTATCGTATTATGAAAATTAAACGAAAAATATGGCTCAAGACGAGCAAAATTAGATGCTAAAAAAGTAAATTGTTTATTGATTAGGGTGCTTTCAGGAATTTTTTTGAATTAACATTTTATTCGTTTTTCTTTCTATATCTGTATATAAAACATGCATAAATAAGGATTTATAAATAAAAATATTATTCGAATTGGGTAAATAAATCGTTAGATCTTAGATTTTACTAATCATTTCTTCTTGAAATGAGACTGTGGTAATGGGAACTGTGTATGAGAGTTGGAGTATTGTTAAATTGCGCGAAATGTTGATAAGTTTCAAAAACGATTTGCAGTATGTTCAAGTATATTAGAATTTAATGGGGTGTGACGACATCGACTGCAAACAATCGATTTTAAGTGATTGATGAAAATCGATATCAATATTTAAAATTTTCGAGGTTTTTTCGACTGATAGCAATTGCTTTGGACACCTAGAATGAAGTTCTCCTTGGTGAATTTCTCCAAATTTTTTCCATTTTAGAAAAAGCCTAAGCAATTTTCTAGAAAATGATAAGGTTATTTTCAATTCTCGATTTTTTTTGGAAAAATGAGGTTAATTTTTTTGAAAATTTATAATTTAGAGAGAAATGAATCATTTTCATTGTCTTACAAATCGATAAAACCTTTTTATTTTTGTTATTCTATAATTTTTCTACTAAATTGTGTCAATTGTAAAGCAAAATCATATAACTATTTTTCAAATATATAGAAAAGAAGTATATATTCCAAAATTATAAATCAGTCATAGTTTACTATCAAAAATAATATATTATTCTATATAGACAATCATCCATTGTTCGTAACTTAAAATTATTTCTGGTTCAAATTAAGGATTATCTTCACATGTTTAGAAACTATTGTAAGTATCTAGAAAACAATCAATAATATCATGATTTTATTCACAGATGAGTTCAAGATATATATTCTGAAATGCATTTCGACAATAAATCTGAATCAAACGTATATTAAATTCGCACATTTAGTCTTCTTATCATAATAATGTTATCAGTTAGTAACTATGGCTAAAAAATAAGCAACATTAGATCTGTATCTCATAATCAAACGGAAGCTAAGCTAAGATATTTGAGAAAATATCACCTGATAGTATGCATAATACTATACCAGAATGACTAGTCAATCTGTTGTTTCATTATCGTTTTAAATTTTTTGTGCCAAAATAGTACTTTGGCTATCATTGGTAATACGTAAGGTCACTACTAATGTAATATTTCGAAAAAATAAAGGTATCAACTTTAATGCAAGATATGATGAGTTGAACATCGAATAATTGGGTTTTTGTAATATTAATATTCTTTAGTCCATAGTATATCATCGTTTCATACTAATCACGTGAATCGATTCCGTTTCAATGATCAGATAAAGCAGAAACAATATACTCAGGTGCCACTTTTTTGGTCTAAAAAATGAGTTCCCCCCTTTTCATTGATAATTGATTTGAAACGCTTGTATGTATTTTTCTCATTCCAAGTAAAATCTATAAACCTGACAGGAGGATAAAAATATTTATGTCAAAATTTTTTTCAATGCAATCACAATACCCACAGCATTGGTACTACAAATATGATATACCTCATTTAATCCTCGGCGTTGTGTCATTAGTAATATTTGCTGGCCTTGAATTTGCCAAGCCGAATCCGTTATATTTTCCACCAAATGACTCAAATTCTTTATTCCCTCATCCAGGCAAAAGCACAATCCCTACATGGTTAGCAATCGTATTAGTTGCTGTAATTGGAATTGTCACAATACTTGTATTATTTGCAATTTCATATAAATTCCCCAAAATATGCCGTAAGTTCAACGTTTATAGTGCATTATGGAATTGTGCTGCTGTTGTTGGCGTTTCTTCTATTCTAGTTGATGTTTTAAAGAATTATGTTGGCAGACCAAGACCAGATATGATAGCATTATGCGGAGAAAACTTTACTGGCGCATATTCTACTTGCAAATCAGGTGTTTCTAAATCTGCTTTTAATGATAATTATCGTTCCTGGCCTTCTGGTCACTCTTCAAGTGCAATGTCAGGATTTATATATCTAGCATTACTCATACAAAAATCATTAATATTTAGTCGTACAATTGGCACTTTTATTGCTGCCTTATATATTCTTTTTGCTCTATATATAGGCGCAACACGAATTCGCGATTTTAAGCATCATACTGATGACGTCCTTGCCGGATTTTTCATTGGCTACATTATTTCGCGTCTTATTTGGGATCAATGCTTAGATTATATTTATGAAACAAATGACAAAGAACACGATATCAAGTTAGATAATGAAGATAAAAGCACAAGTGGCGTTTGAAAGTTTGATCCATAATATTTTTGATATATGTCTTTATTTGTTTTATTTTGTTAAAACTATATTATTATAGATCTCTTTAGTACAAGATTTACCATTGCCTTATAAAATTCAATTTATATAAGTTTTCAGATTCATTTGTAACAAAACATATCTGAATATATGGGGCGGTAGGGTTATTAGCTCATTCAAAGTTAATAACGAAAGAACATAACATAAAAAAGGTGATTTGGGATAGAGAATTTTGTAACAATTCTAATTAAAAAATTTGACAAAAAAAAGCTCGTTTTTTTCCCTTCAAAATAAAATTTTATGGTAAAAGGTATTGTTTTTGAGCCAGAAGTTGTTATTTTTCCAAATACATACATCTCTGATGTCTCAAAACTTACCATCACTGTCAAGAATAACTCACATCAGAATCACAAACTATCATTTCGAACGTATAAAACTAAATCAGAAGAGCAAGCACTCAAAGAAGATTTAGATATATATGATCCACTTGCACGTGCCAAATTCAACAAATCTTATGCATTTGAATCAGATACTTTCTATATAGAACCTCTTGAATTAGAAGTTTGGTCTGGAACTTCTCAACAATTTTTCATTACATACGCACCAAACATTGCGATAAGACATGATACTACTGTATACGTACAAGTTGACGAAGAAGATGAAAGATTAGAACTAAAATTAATCGCATTAGGTCTGCCTCCTGTTGCACAGTTGAGCAATCCAGCAATTAACATTGGAAATATCTTCTTAGACTCAATTTGCGAATACGAGGTTTATTTAGAAAATTGCGGAAATGTTCCTGTTGATTTTATTCTGGAAAAGCATCCTACAGGTAATCTTGGTTTCAAGTTTAATCCAGAAACCGGACAAGTTTTAGTAGGATCAAAAATTCCAATTAGAATTACATTTATTGCTTCAGCTGTTGGCAGTTTTCATGAACTATTTACATATAAAATTAGAGGTGCTACAAATAAATTCCCTCAAATTGCTCTGACAGGAAAAGTTATTGGACCTTCATTTGAAGTTTCGATGCATCAATTAGATTTCGGCTCTGTTGGATATGGATTTATGCATACTCAAACATTTATTCTTGAAAATACTTCAGAAATACCTTTCGACTTTACTTTTAGATTATCAGCGAATTCAACATTTGAACATCGTGAATTTCGAATAGACCCTGAGCAAGGAACTATTGGAAAATTCCAGAAACAAGAAATTTCAATAGAATTCATACCATTCGCCATTCAAGAGTACAATTTAACCTTGTTAATGGATGTAGCACGCTATGGCCTTGCTTTGTTAGAGATACCAATCAGAGCTAAGAGTGTCTGCCCCTCAATTAAACTAATTCCAGATGTAGTTGATTACCAAACTGCTTTCATTGGGTACAAATACGAAAACAAGATCACATTAAAGAATGACTTTCCATATCCAGCAAAATTCGAATTCATAAGCGGCCAAGATAACCATAGGAACGATATTGAAATTGCTTGCGATAAATTGAGTGGAATTATACCAGCACTGTCAAGCACAGAAGTAATTATATTCTCAACATGCAGAAAAATAGGTCCATTACAAAAATCTTGTTTGTTCAGCATTTTTGGATCTGATGAACCGCCTTTAATGCTTAATTTCACTGCAAACTGCGTTGGACCAAATGTTTCGTTTAGTACATCTTCAATAAACTTCGGAAATCTCCAAGTTTTAAAGGAAACTAAGCAAATAATTGAAGTCAAAAATAATTCATTAATCGATGCTAACTTCAGAACATCGTTGGACTCTCCAACAGGTGGATTTAGCGTTTCTCCTTCAAGCGGTGTGATAAAACCAAACGAAACTTTGCAACTAGACGTGATTGCATTTTTGAACGACATTTTACAGTTTCAAGGAACCATAAAATTTGGAATTGATTATCTAAACTCATCAAATATTGCATTGAAGGCACAGGGAGTTGGATCTCCAATCATTCCTGATATTGATCAAAAAACTATTGATTTCGGAACAGTTTTAACGCAGCAACCATCGTCAAAAGTCTTCAATATCACCAACAAGAGCCACAGACCAGCGGAAATACGTTGGTCTGTTCAAAAACCAAAAATATTGAAAGATTTACCAAACGATTTTTCGTTTGTTGTTGAACCAGAACAGACATTTCTTAATCCTCAGCAGAGTTGCGAGGTTAAGATGACAATCCAGTGTTCAAATCCAATTTCATTTACATTAAATACAACCTGCAACGCAATGGTTGGTCGATCAAGGATTGAAGCCTTCCAGCCTCTAATAAAAGGCACTTTCATCTCTCCTTCGATACAAATAGAGCCATCTTCATTAGATTATCAAGTTCTTCTTCCATATGACAAAGAGAAGGGCGACGACAGATCATTAGTTTCGCCTCCGTCAGACATTCTCCAGCCAATTCCAAAGGCTCTTACTCTATCCAATATGTCAAAATTACCAATAGAAATGACATGTTTGATGCCAAGTCACTTTTTCATTGAAAATTTTGAAAATTTATTCAGCAAAGAAGGGGATGAAGAAAGTGTTTTGAAGATCAATCCAGGGGAGAAGAAAGATCTCACAGTTGTATTTGATCCCAGCTTCAAAGAAGAGTTCGTCACTGAAGAATACACAAGAAAAATTGTTTTCTCATACTTGAACAATCCCCAATCTATTTCTTTGCCATTACACGTGAATGTTGAGTTCCCAAACATCAAAATCACTCCATCTGACGAAATAAACTTCGGTATATTGATGATGGACACAGAAAAGACAGTAAAAGTCACTGTCCAAAACATTGTTTCTATTCCAGTAAATTTCACGTGGAAAATGGTCTCAGACAATTTGGATAGCGCCAGAGTTTTCGACGTGTTTCCTCTCGACAGTTGCCTCGAACCAGGCCAGTCTGTTGATATCTATTTCTCTTTCTACGCGCTCAATGATGAAAATGAACTGAGAACAATAGAGTATTTTGCCGAAGCTGTTTGCTCTGTGATGAATGGCCCTGATTACAGACTGAAACTGAAGGGAAGTAGCGCTCCTATTCAATATAACGTAGCTCCGACCGATTTCGATTTCACCGGAAAATCATTTACTGAGGAATTGAACGACAAAATTGTTTTGACAAACAATTCCGCTGTAGAAATACAGTTCGAGGTCAAGCTGCCAAGACACTCCAAATTCAAACAGCTCAAGATCGAGCCAATGAACGGAATCGTTTCTGCAAATGATTTCGTCGAATTGAATTTGTCAATTTTGCCATCAGCACCAAACTTCGTCAGAGAGAGTTTTTACGTACAGATCAGTGGATTTGATGACGTTCAGATAAATGTTAGAGTTGATTCCTCATTTGCACAAGGAAAACTCTCATTGCAAAGATGTGAAGATGACCCTTCAGTGAACAATCTTTTGACAAATCCAACTCCAATAAAAAGTGTCAAATCACAAGGAAAAGTGAAGAATCAGAGGAGTGGAACAGCGCAAAGCATACAAGTGTACAGATCAGAGAACATTGCAGATAAGATGCAGCAACTTGGCGAGGACAAATTGCTCAAGGAAGAACAAAAAGTTCTGATGGACATAATGAAAGGAAAGTCAATTTACGTCCATTCTGCACACTACAAGATCGATTTCGGCGACTTAGTAATGGGCGAAAACAGAGAGATAGAGTTCAACCTCACTAACATTTCCACTTTCTCATATTCAGTAAATGTTGATTCCTCAGCCCTGAAGAGAAGTGGGTTCAAGATCGAGCCAATCGCACTGAAGGGAATTTCGCCAAACACAGATGTCAGTTTCAGAGTGAATTTCATGACTGAAAACAGGAAATTGAATGAAATCGGTGAGGTTTCATATGATGTTCCTTTTGTTTTCAGTGACAACCACAGCGTGCTTGTGACAATCAGAGCGAATTTAATTCATCCTTCGCTCACTTTCTCAGAAAAGTCATTTGATTTCGGCCAAGTTATTATTGGCCAGATGAAGACAATGACTCTTCAGCTGCAGAATATGAATTCTGTTGCATGCGAGTTCACTTTCGGCGATGTTGTTTTTAACAAATCCTCAAAAGGAAATGTTTTTGTTGTGACTCCATTGCACGGTGTTTTGCCTCCTTCCTCTTTCATGAACATAACAATCACTTTCTCGCCGACATCCGAAAAGAATTACAACGCTAAATTCCCTGTTAACTTGAGGTATTCGCCAGAACCAATAGAGATTCAATTAAAAGGTATCGGAATCCAGTACAAACTCGAGTTCGATCCTCCCAACTACACATTCCCATTAACACAACTCTTCAAAGAACCGCTTTCAACAATAATCAAAATTAGAAATCCAACAAACTACTCAATTGAATTCTACTCGTCACAGTTCGACCAGAAACTGCAGGAACTCATTGAGCAGCAGCAGAAGACAGACCCAAGAGAGGATGGAGAGATGCCGTTTGTCACATATACTCCAAAAGCGAAAACCCCAGCCGCAGCTTCGAAATTTGGAATCTGCATCATTTTGTCTGGAATACAGAGATCAGGAAAAACATCTGTCGCAAACCACTTGTCAAAGGAACTCAATCTACCAATTATTGACCTCAAGAAAGTTTGGCAGGGTGTCAACCAGGAAGACTATGTTTCCAAACTCTACGGAGTGCTTTGCGAAACTCAAAATAGAAACGGTTTTATAATAGATAACCTTAATATTTCCGACACAAAGAACGAGAACGAGCAATTTATACAACAGATGCTGAAGAACAAAAATGCATTGGATGAAATCAGCAAAAACCTGATGTACAATGGCCAACACCAAACTCCTTCGACATACGAAGAATGCCTTGGATACCTCCTTCAATCATTGGACGGACAATATGTTTTCCACATTTCTCTGACACTGTCGAAAGAAGAGCTCCAAATCAGACTAGAAAAACAGAAACAGAACGAGAATTTGACTAAAGAATCAAACGAAATGAAGGAAATCGAGTACTTGAACAAGATGACGACAGAAGAATACTTAAACATGCCAGAAGAACAGAGAAATGAAATAGACGAGAAAAGGCACTTCTACAGACAGAAAATACTCGACAAAATCATTGAAACATCAAGATCTGAGAGAGAAGAAGATGAAAATCACAAGAAATCATCTAAAAAGGAAGAAAACAAAGACAAAAACAGCAAAAAGAATGCAAAAGCTGTAAATCTCGATCCTCTTCAACAAGAAATGCTAGTTTACCAGTTCTCTTTGTCATCAATGATCACTAAACTCGAATCTGCAGGAGACAGATACAAAACAATTGATCCGAGCGAACTCTGCTTGATCGACAGTTCAAACGCTGTTTTAGTCCACAAAAATTCAATTGTAATAAATGGCGGTCTGCAGTTTAACGACGTCATCAACCAAATAAACGCATTCCTTCCTCCTGTGAATATCATCAAAGAAGCAGCCTTCAAGAGAATGATTCCAGAGCCATACATGACGAACGAAAACATGGACGAAGAGATACAAATGGCAAAAAAAATTCCACGCCACTTTTATATACAAAATCCAGAAGATGAGTCAAACAAATCCACTCCTCACTGGTTCTTGGACAGTGGACAAGAGATGGAATTGAACGTCAAATTCGATCCACAGCCAATAGGAAATATATCTGAGGAGCTGACATTTGTCATTTGCAGATGCGCTGCCTCTCCTTACGCAATCAAACTGAAGGGATCTGCGTCATTCCCTGACTTCGAGAGAGACATTAAGACAATCTTCCAACCACAGACGAAGAAAGGAGAACCAGGCTACTCAAACGAACTGAGCTGTTTCACATTCGGAAATAGATTGATCTGCAAAGAGAAGCCTCCAAAAGGTCCTTTCCAATACAAAGAGCAGATGACAATCAAGAATACAACATTATTCCCTCTTGAAGTATCTCCGATGGTCGTTGAGTCCCAGAATAAACAGTTCTTCGGTTTCGAGCCGGCACTTTTGACTTTGCAACCAGATCAAAAAGGCGACATCAACTGTCTGTTCCATCCAACAACGAACGGACAGTCATTTGCACTCTGCGCACTGTTTGTGAAGGACAACCCAGATCCGTTCTACTTCACAGTGAGTGGAGAAACATCTTCGCCGCAAATAGACCTTATTTCACAGCAAAACATTGATTACGAAAGGATCTTGTCTAACTCAACATCAGTAAAGAAAGTTGACCTCAAGAACACAGGAAAGGTAGCTGCAACATGGCGTCTGAAAGGCCAACAGAACTTCCAAGGCCTCTTGACATTTTCCCAGTCAGAAGGGCAAATTTTGCCAGGAAAAACAATATCGATCCAATTGAAGTTTTCTCATCCAAAGCCAGTTGTACTCAAGAAACCTTTGCAGATAGAGATACTCGACTTAGATCACACCAAAGTTTTCATGACTCACAACTTGAACATCAGCGGCGAAGTATTCGATGTGAACTGCGATGTTGTATTTCCGAAAGGAATGAACGACAGCTTCGATTTCGGATTGCTTAAATGCGGCCAGTCGAAGAACATACAAGTGCAGGTCAGAAACAGAGGCAAATATCCGATAGAGTATCACTTTTCTGCAAATGATAACACAGTCAACATAAACAACCCTGACAACACAGTGAATCCAGGTGATAAAAATAACTTGCAGAATGTCACATTCACATTTTCAAGTAATTCCACTGTAAAAATCACAGGAAACAAAACAGTCTCTCTCAAAATTGTTGACACCCAAACAAAGAGTGTTACAGCAAATTTGACTTATCCAATCAACGCCGAATCGTTCTTCTCCACTTACGAAACAGATATTCCAGCAAAGATCCAATTCGGAGAGACACAAGTCACTACTTCGTACAAGAAAGAGTTCACGATCAAGAACACTGGTCCATTCCCTATTGAATACAATTTCACAGTGAAAGAGATCAAGAACACTGATAGCCAGCCAATCGAAACAAACACAAAGAGTGATGGAAAGACGAAGAACGACAAAAAAGCAGAGAAATCCAAAGAAAAGAACGAGCCAAGTAAAAATAAGAAGAACGAGAAAACATTGTTCGCTGGACCATTCCAAATCTCACCAGGCTCTGCAACAATTCAGCCAAACCAGACACAGACTGTTTCCTTCGAAATCTTTGCAACTGACCAAGGGAAATATTCATCAATTGTGCAGTTAAATGTCCCCGGAACCCAATCTTCTTCTTCAACACTGACAATGCGTTTATTTGCCAATGTATCAATGCCAGGAATTCTCACAGAAAGTGACAAAGTCTTCAAGGAAATTCCAATTGCAGCAAGAGTCGATGTACAGAGCAACACAACATCAGACGCAAGCTGCTTCCTTGAAGATGAAAACATTCTCCACTTCGCGCAGATTTGCCAGGGCCAGAAATCAAAGATAACTCTGAATTACATCAATGTAACTCCAATAGAAATCACTGTCGACACAACAATTAAGTCGAACACCAAATCAAAGGCACCACTTCCTTTCGATGTTTCAGAGAAAACATCAGTTATCAAACCTAATTCCACGCAGAAAATCGACATCATTTACAGTCCCACTGCAATTGAGCAGACAACTTGCCAGTTTGAAGCTGTCGTTCGCGGTGGAATCAACCCTCAGACGAAATGCCTCAGATTCGGCATCGAAGGATCATCAACACTGCCTTCGATCACTGTCCAGACTGCTCTGGAGAAAGGCAAGAACAACGGCTACTCCTGCAACATGGGAAAGACTTTGGTCGGCCAAACAAAGCAAAAAGCAGTTTCCATCATCAATGACAAACTTATCCCAGCGAAAATTAGTTTTTCATACAAGCCAAATCCAGATTTCCTTGTTCAAAACGCAGAACTTAACAAGGAGATCACTCTAGAGCCAGGAAGAACATTCACTTTCACTGTTGTCCATCAGCCACAAAAAGTCAGAAAATCAAGTTTGGATCTGACAATAAATCTCCCAGAAAACAACAAATCGAACCAATCATTCAGTTTCTCTGGCGAAGGATTCAGCGACGACATCATTTTCGATGGTCTGACAGAGGAGAATGAATTGAACATGCCCAGTGTCGTCGTCGGAAGGTCAACCAATTACACATTCACAATGAGAAATGTCATCACATCAGACGTGAGATTTGTCTGGAATGGACCGCCAGAACTTGTATTCTCTCCGAAAGTCGGCCACATCAGGAGCGGACAGATCAAGGACATCACAGTCAAGTTCTTCTCAGAGAAGCCGTGCAAGCTCAGCGGCGTAAAGACAACATGTTCCATCACAAAGATTGTCTTAGAAAACCCAGATGACGACTGGGATGACACACAAAAAATTGTTTCTTTCGTTCCAAAGAGCGAATTGTCTCAGAATGACAACTCCCCACGAAGGAAGACAAAGCCAGAGACAACTAAGAATGACAATGAAGTCGTCAAAATATCTCAAGTTCGAGCAGAACCTCCATACAGAGCAATTACAGGTGCTTCATCGCGTGGTTCTTCTTCTAGGGACTTTTTGATCAAAGTTTTCGTTTCTGCTGACGTAATCAAATACCAGATCGACACGAACGAGGTCAACTTCGCCCCAACAATGATGTACCAGATCAGAACGGCCGACGTAAATGTCACGAACACATCACAAATCCGTCTTGAGTACGAGTGGAAAGAGGAAGACTTCAAATCCCTCAAAACAGACTATTCGATCACGAGGCCTTCGCCATTCTCTATTGAGCCAATGACAGGAATCATAGAGGCAGGCGAAGTGAAGACATTTAAGGTACACTTCTCCCCAATGGAAGTCGACGATTTCACATCTGTCTTCAGGATGATCATTCCTTATTTGACATCTTCAGAACCTCCTGTTTTGAATCTGACAGCGTTTTCAAGGAGACCTTTGTGTCATTTCAACATCCCTCCATGTGACTACTTGACAAGGAGACATCCAGACTTCGCCAACCAGGCGCTACCCGACTCAACAAGTGTCATTGAGATACTTTCCAAGGGAAGAGGAAAGGACGCAAAGACTAGTTTCAGATTCGAAGTAATTAATCCAACAAGTAGCCCATACGAGTGCAAGTGGTCACTAATAACTGATTCTAGTGGTGGAGCAATAACATGCGACATACCAAAGGCTCTGATTTCATCAGGAAAACATTATTACTTCTCATTCACTTTCACACCAAAGACTGGTAAGACAGTAGAGAGCTTATGGGAATTTTCGATACCACAACATGGCATCAAAGCTTATTTCTTAGTTGTTGGTAGAAATTCTAGATAATTAATTTTTTTTTATGTTTTAAATAAAAATTATGTATGTTTTAGAAATCACATAGCATTATATTTCTTAGAATTACTATTATTTTGATCTGAATTTAAAATTAATTTTGGAAAATAATATAATTATAGAGTTCAGCTTAAGCAGTTATGCATCCAAATAATCAATACTGTAAGAGATTATGATGATCGTATTAAATTGAAATGATATTGTATTTATTTAAAATATGACAATTATTTTTTTTGAATTAATTATCGATTAGTAATTTAATTAAATTTAAAAGAGTATTACAAGTTTTGCTTTCTTTCTGCGCTAGTTGCATCTTCAGCAGCTCTTAAAGTTTTAGCTCTTTCGAAATTATAAGATGCTTCGTTTACTAATTTCTGCCACTGACGAATATCTGTACTAGTAGTATGGTTCCACTTAAATGGATCTGATCCATACATAACAAACCAGTATGGAATTGAATAAGCACCTTGGCGACGGCACCATTCTCTATCATCGCAATGAATGAGTGAGAATGTCATATTTAACTTACTGCTCTGTTTATTGTAAAATGCCTTGAACCTTTCTTTCTGTCCATGACACATTGGACACCAATATGCATGCATTAGGGCGAAAATAGGTCTATTTGTGCTATTTGCAACAAGTGCATCATAATCTTCCAGTTTGAATTCGAGCCAATCTTTTGATGCTATTGTTGCCAGAAGGGTGAAAAACATTGATTTTTGACAAAAAATTTGGAGTTGAACTCACTGTGTAATTTTAATAATATGGCTGTTTCTCGAACATTGCGTAATAAATGTGGTGGGAATTCATTTGTCGGTCATGCCTTGCAAAAAATACATCTTATTAACAAAAAATCTTTATTTATTAGTTTAACTTTGATATTATGAGGGCCGACAATCATGAAATTTGAACCTGTCGAAAATATACTTAATTCTTAATGGAAGGTATTTTTCTTCAATGATTTCGAGAATATATATGATTAAATAAAGTTTTAAATGAACGAAAACAAGACATTAAATTTACAAGCATGAAGTTAAAATTCTATTACCGTTAAATGTAGATTACTACCAACTAATGAAATTATAGCGAACAAAATTCAAAGAGGGATGACAAATCCAGTGAGACAGTACTCAACAACATTTTGTTCGGAGGATATTATCAAATTCGAACCTTTAAAAATTCTGATCAAAGATTTTGAAAAGGTGACCAAACTATTTTTTGAAAGTCCGCCATAACTTTAATGGTACTATTTCAGCGTGTACAATGAATACAAAAATTCTAAGAGTGCCACATAAAATAGTACTTTAGACTTGAGTTAATGCTACCAAGCAAATGTTAAAAAGATGACTTTAGTGTTTTGATAATCAAAGATTAAAATCATTATTGTCTAAATCAATAATCATAACGACAGAAGTTAATGTTTTTTCATCAGTGCTTTAAATCCACTTTTAAAAGTATACATCAAAAATCAAAATATCAAAAAAAATTGGCCGATAGGTTTGGCTTTAATTTTTGTCTGCTTTTATGATTTGATATGGATGTTATAATTTTAAAAGTTGAGCCAAATTCACCAATAGATTTTTGAGATTTGCAAATACTCAATAATTTTCAGCGTGTTATCTTTTATTAAAAGAACTATTTGGTTTCAGTATCATATAAATTGATATTTACTTTCTATTTGAACCTTCATTTAGCTAATGATTTAATAATACAGATTTCATCTAGTCCTTATAAGAGAATTTTGAATTTGTTATAATAAAAAAACAAACAGATATAGCTTACACTTCTATAATAAAGATACCTTTTATAGAAATCAGTATGAAATGTGTTTTGGCTTATTGGAAGCATATCAGACATAATCGCCATAATCAAAAAATCTATATACCCAATAAGTAATAAATTTGTCGATATAGATTTTCCATAAAATTAGTTTTTAGTCTGATCTTAAAATAAATTTAATTTTTTATAAAAAAAATCACATTTAAAAGTACCTTTTTAGTAGCTCGAAATCCTGTTGGTGGATTTCGGGCGTACTTCAAAATTAGCTTTTCTTCTACATATGCAAGCTATATTTTAAATATGGAGCAAATCGGATCGGCGAAAGGAGTTTAGTTACCTTTGATTTTGAATAAATTGAAGACCCAAATCTGTTTTGAAGAATCTTGATCTTCGACAGTCCGTATGTACTACTGGATTTCAAATCAATCCAGAAAATTCGTTTTTGCTCGTTGATGTTCAACATTCGTACTCAAAATTATTGTGGTTTTTTTGTTATGTATAGCAAATGGAAAGTAAAATTTTCTGAAATTGAAAATTTTTAGCTATTTTAGATAATCATTTGCTAAAACTAGTCGTAAAATACCATTCAGATAATATTTTAAAAGAATGGCAAATAATAATCAATGCTTTTTGGGATTTGATTGTTGCTTTGAAAAGTGTCAAAATTGATCGGCTTTTGAATAATGCGATTAATTTGAGATAATTCAATTTTGGATATTTAATTGATTTAGGTTATAGATAAATATTTAAAATTCCAAAGTTGGCTGCTCAAAATTCTTCAAACGCCTATAAAATTTCAGGATTTATTTAGCAGAATATAGTGCATCATAAAATCCAAAAATTTATGAAAAATCCCGTTCAAAACGATAAATTTTATTGTCAAAATGAATAAAGTTGATTTCTCAAAATACCTATAGATGAATATTAGATCCTTAATTGCTCTCTCAGAAAAAGTAAAGTTTCAAATTGTAAAATCTCATTCATTCAATTCATTTTTACTTTTTTCAGTAAATTCATTTCAAATTTAATGTACACTGTATGTAGATGTTATATTCAAAAACGTGCGCCGATGTAAAGTTGCTAAAAATTCAATCGGACGTTTTCAAAAAGCAAATCTTCTTTGATTTTTTGAAAGCTGATTACAATTGAAATTTATATCATAAATTTGTATTTTTACTCTACTACATGAAAAGAGACTAATACAAAATTTTGGATAATCATTCAAAACAAAAATTCAAAAAATGATTACAAGTGAAACTATGACTGACCTTGATAAAGTCAATAAGCAGACTATCAAGCGTTATAAAACAACAAATATCCTTCTTCAAGACTCCTCCAAGAGGAAAAATATCAATCGAAAAATTCATTTTGATACACCCATCTCTCCACAAGACGCAATTGCAAATTTTAGATATTATTTATTTGGTGACGACTTTTATGACATTGAAGATTATGATGAAATTTATTATCTAGAAAGAAATCCAGAAGCAGTCATGATTCAAAATGACAGACATTACATTTATTTCAATTTTAACAAGGGCTGCCACATAGGATTTAGATACGAGCAAGTCCAACTTCTTGGCCGCGGCTCATTCGGCTCAGTTATCAAATGTATCGACCACAAGACTAAACAATATGTTGCCGTGAAAGCACTTGCTGACAGTGCTGATGATCACCAACAAATTGTACGGGAAGTCGAATTCCTGAAAATCCTCTCAAAGCACAAAAATGGTTCTCGCCATAACAATATTTGCGAAATATTAGACACATTTTACTTCAGAGGTTTTATTTTCATTGTTACCAAGTATTACGAAGATAATTTATACGACAAAATAAAGGAAAATAATTATTCCGGTTTTGACCTCGAAAAAGTCAGGTATCTCGGAAAAGAAATCGCAAAAGCTCTTTCATTTACACATAGTGCCGGTATTGTTCACTCAGATATCAAGCCAGAAAATATTTTACTCCACAACCACAAGGTTTATCTCATTGACTTTGGCTGCTCCTGTTATGATGGCGAACCGTTGTACGAAACAGTACAGAGTTTGTACTACAGAGCTCCAGAAGTCGTGTTCAGCATCAAATACAACAAATCAATTGACGTTTGGAGTTTTGGATGTCTTTTGTATGAATTGTTCACCGGAAAGCCACTGTTCTGGAGCTCAACAGAGTCAGACTTAATATCACAGATCGTAAACATCGTCGGCGAACCTCCAAAAGAGATGGTCAATTCATCTCGAAAAATGAAGCGCTATTTCTACCAAAAGAAGCTATCACAAACTAATAATGATGAAAAGAAGAAGACTTATTTGAAGAATAATCTCAAAAACGCTTCTCCAGAGTTTATTGACTTAATTTCTCAGTGCATTTGCTGGAATCCAACAGAAAGAGTTACAATGAATGATGTTCTTAATCATCCTTTCTTTAAGAAGTAATAAATTGTTTGTATTTTTTGTATCTTCCTTTTTTATTTCTGATTTACTCTATACATATTAACATCTTCTCTATTCATATATAGGACCAATGCAGAAACTCATTAAAATATCTTTTTTTAATCATGAATTAGATGAAATAATATAAAATATATGAAAATGATATCATTTCTAAGTATTTATCAAATACACCAACTCTGTATAGTTAAAATGCCTGCTTTTGACTCCAAATTGTACAAGTTTGAATCAAGGAATGATAATTGATGGGATTATTTTAGAAACCAATGATATTATCTTTATAATATTTTAGTGTTAAGAATAAATAAATTGGGAAAATTCCAATTCTATGGTGATTTCGATTATTGATCGGATAAAATGTCGTTGACTTTATTATTCAGCTTTCTATTTAGGAAATTTATTTTTAAATACTATCAAATCGCAAGGATAATGCAAGGTTGATCTAATAAAATGAGTTTGAAAGAATCAAAAATATTCAATATTAGTAAATGCATATAAATATATAAGATAGGATCTTTAAAAACAACACTAAAATATAGACATACCATTGCTGATTAACAAAACCAACAATAAAAAAATAAAAATTAATGATTTTCTGGTTCTCTTGGATGCCCATTTGCGTCCAAGCTTAAAAGGTGGGCTAAAATAGCTTCGACGTATGAAGCAGCAAAAGAAACCTTCGAATCAGGATTATCGATAGTAGAAATCATTGCAATGAACTGCAAAATCCTTGATTCACATAGTAATCCTGTAGCAAGGACAGATAACAATATCAATGGGAACAGTGTATCAAAATCAAGAAGTTCGACTTCTCCAGTGACATTGGAAACACATTGAGCAGTTTTTTCCATGGCCGAATAAAATATTTTTGCTCCTTCTATCGGATTAATAATGAAGAACAGCTCATCTAAAATATCTACAACAGATGAGTATGGCCAGTCACAAAATCGCAATTCATTGATCGTTTTTTCTTTGAATTTATCACCTAAGTAAGGAGGATCAAATTCTTTGACTTTAACGTGTAAAAAAGCCGATGGAATTGATGATGAGTGTAAAAAGGGAAATTCCGTCCTTCTCCAACCAAATGTAAATCCATGCTGTAACAGTATGAGCATTTCTTCAGGGTCTGTAGTAAGTTCTTTGAATTCATCAATAATTTCTTGAAGAGTTTTTTTCCTGGCTTTTTTCTCAATCTTCCTGAACAATGCATAGGTTGATGAAGTAGGATAAATAAGTTGCTCTTCAAATGTTGTTGGTGTAGGTAGAAATTGTGGTTGTTTAACATATTTTTCGAGAATAGCTATTTTGCTGCTTAGTCTTGATATCTTATCTTTATGCTCTGGTATTGAATGAAGGTATCCAGACAAATTGACAACAATGTAAAACTCTGAAATATCAGGTAACGATTCACTTAAATATTTTTGCATTTTTATAAGATAGTCGAGATAAGTTTCTGAATCTCGAGTTCTTAATGTAATTTCCTTGATTTGCAAGTGCATTAACTGATCAATTAAGTAAAACATTTCTCGATTTTCGGATAATCCTCTTCCATCGTATGATTGTCTAGCTGTAATTAAAGAATTGTAATCTTGTATTAAGGATGAAGATTTCATTGATAGTTGAATGATCTTTTGAGTTGGTTCTTTAATTAATGATTCTAATCTTCCTAGCGTTTTATTAATTTGCAGCTTGCAAGATTTCTTATGTGCCTCTATATATTCTTCTGTTGGAATGTTAATAACTGGTACTGAACTTACATAAGATTCCGGAACAGGTTTCTTCGTAATCATGGAAGTATTTAATGGAGAAGCAATGGAGAGAGTTCCAACAGAGGCTTGCCGTTGTCTAAGCTTTTTGAGAATCCGATCTTCGAACACTAAGGAATTACTTCGGATTTCTCTCATAAAATCATTGTCAAAAACGATAAAATTGAAAGATCGGATAAATGGAGAATAAATTTACCCTTTTTCTTCACAATTTTCGAAAATAATCATAAAGATACAAAGAAAATTCATTGTACTGTTGTAAACAGAAATTCATCAAAAGTGACACCTCAGAAAAGCTAAAATATTGAATTTTTGGAACTTTTGATAGAGCACGTTTTTAAATATTAATTAAAGTAAATGTATATTTTGTAAAGATTCTTTTTAATAAAAAATAAAATTTTGAAGAAGAACACAAAATCTTCTGAAAAATAATATCACATAAACTCATATTATTTTCTAATATATAACTATTTTATATAAAAATCAAATTCAATGATCTTAAAAGCGAAGGATAAACCTCAAAATTTACGAATATAATGAGTGGGAATATAATGCTTATCTATCATAAAACCATATGAAATATCAATTTTTGCTTTACGCCTAATTTTTGACGACAATTAGCAAAAATGTTAAATGTTAACACTCAGTCCATTTGAATATGAAAAATAAAATTGACTTTGATTAAATGTTTTTATTTATCATGCAATTCTTCTTGCGACCAAAGATTTGAATAAAAGTTCAAAAAATAAGATAGCTTAAAAAATAATATACGGTAGTGTTTACTAATAGATGAATAGTATATAAATTCTATTAAAATGGATTTGATCCAAAAAAATATAAAACCAAAAATAATTGTTATAATTTAAATGAAGAAGTAATTTAAAACGATTTTATTTATGATCAAATTTTATATATTTTTTTGGATCAAATCCATTTTAATAGAATTTATATACTATTCATCTATTAGTAAACACTACCGTATATTATTTTTTAAGCTATCTTATTTTTTGAACTTTTATTTCAAATCTTTGGTCGCAAGAAGAATTGCATGATAAATAAAAACATTTAATCAAAGTCAATTTTATTTTTCATATTCAAATGGACTGAGTGTTAACATTTAACATTTTTTGCTAATTGTCGTCAAAAATTAGGCGTAAAGCAAAAATTGATATTTCATATGGTTTTATGATAGATAAGCATTATATTCCCACTCATTATATTCGTAAATTTTGAGGTTTATCCTTCGCTTTTAAGATCATTGAATTTGATTTTTATATAAAATAGTTATATATTAGAAAATAATATGAGTTTATGTGATATTATTTTTCAGAAGATTTCATTCTATATGCCTATGAAAAGTACTCTCAAAACTAACTTTTTCCTAATTATAATTAAATCTAGAATATTGTATTATGCTTAGTATTATTTCATTTTTCTCATTCAATTTAGAATTTACAAATGTCAAAAAATTGAGAGTTGTCACTTTTGATGAATTTCTGTTTATTACAGTACGAATGAACTCAGATTAAAAATCTTCAATCCAAGTTGAGAACGACAATGGCCCAACTAAAAAACAAGATTATGACAAAATAAATATGTAATATCTATTAATATTATTAAAATATACAAATTTTTGATATGAATGGTCGCTAAATTCGAATTTTAGAAATAATTTGATCGAATTCATATCCATTATAAGAATTATTAAACACTTGATCACTTATTAACGCAAATATAATGGACAATGTGCTAAAATTGATCAATATTTCGTCCAAATTTTGATCGCATATGAAGATTATCAAGCATCAGTCAAATAGTTATAGATCGGAAGCTTAATACTTATCATTCCAAATACTTCCTGGTTTCAATTCCATTTTGTGAGCATTTGCGATCAAACATCCAACAATTCATTGAAAAAAATCGGGAGTGAATTTTTAGGAAAATCATAAATTCTGAATTACATCATTGAATCAACAAAAATATCTTTATGCGGCGTAAATGGTTAAATACGATAACTTTGAATTTTGATAAGTTCTCACATCATTTTTAGTATTTTTGGATGTCAACAGAGATCCCAAAGGAATATTTAGATCTTCACGAGAAGCGCCTTCATGAAATGCTTGAAGTTATCGAGAAGGCACAATGGAAGCTCTCAAAGGAGGAACCAACAATCAAATTCTATACAAGCTCATACCCAGGAAGTTCCTTCTCCATGGTTAAGTCCGTTGTTTATGTTAATGGCAAAGCGGATGAAGCAATTAAGATCCTTGATCAGGTTCCAACAATTGACGCTAACACACCAAAGGAACTTGCTGATGGCGCCAAGGAAAGATATCTTTTCGGAGGTGTTGAGGGTGGTGCCCGCTATCTTTACATGTCTCTTGACTCCGGATCTCGTTTTGTTTCTGATCGTGAATTTTTGCTTCTCCGCAAGCGTTACGATCTTGAAGATAAGAAGGTATGGCTTTGTGTTTCAATTGATAACACAGAACTCAAGCCAGTTGCTAAGGGTAACGTTCGTGGAAACATGACTTTCCAGGCTTACATCCTTGATAAGGATCCAGCTAATGGAGAAGATCGTCTTACATTCGTTGTCCATGCTGACCCATGCGGATCAATTCCAGCAGTTTTATACAACTCAGTTGCTGTAAACCAAGGAAATGGCGCAAAAAGAATTCGCGATGATATCTTTAAACAGTAATAAAGTAAATACTAAAAAAAAAAAAAAAAAAAAAAAAAAAAAGGTAGTGGGGCTTCCAGGCACTTCGTGCCCTCTAGCCCCGAAGATGTTTAGTATAAATGAAGTTCTTATATACGGGTCTTCCAGGAGCTTTTCACAAAATATATATGTTTTCATGTTTTGTCACTTTTCTGTCACTTTTCAGGTAAAAACATTTTTATTATATATATATAAAATGAATTTTACAAAACCACCGTTACCCTTCTTTGGAAATAAGAGTAGATGTAAAGATATTCTATTGAGAGAACTTAAGAAACTACCGAATGGTCTAACATTTGTAGATTTGTTCGGTGGAAGTTTCTATATATCTCATTTGTGCCATACTGTATTTCCTGACTCAAAGATTATATGCAATGACTTCGACAACTATATGAACCGTCTCAAACATATACCAGACACAAACAAAATATTGAGTGAGTTGAAAGAAAAGATACCTATAGGCAAGATGGAACGTATACCATTAGATAAGAAAAATACTGTCAGAGAGGTTTTGAAAAAAGCAGAGTATATTGACTGGGATAGTATATCTTCTAGACTATTATATAGTGGTGCTATAAGAGTTCATGACATTGAAACACTTATGTCAAAAGTTTTATATCTTAACTATACAAAGGTTTTCAAAGAGAACATAGAAAAATATACTGAGGGTATAGAGTTTGTGAGATGTCGTTGGACAGAGTTGTATGAAAAATATAAAAACAAGGAAAATGTTTTCTTTATAGTAGACCCGCCGTTCTATAACACATGGGATTTTCAATACCAAGTAGACTGGACTTTGAGAGACTCTTTAGAAACTTTAGACGTTTTACATAACCATCCATGCTTTTACTTTACATCCGATAAAAGTGGTTTGGAAAGTGTCATGAGATGGTTAGAGGACATACATGACTATGAGTTTATATATGACAAGATAGAATATGAGAGAGGTCCTATAAACCGGAGAAAGTGTCACAATAAAGAAATTTTATTGGTAAGTAAATGTGGTTTGAAATCGGATTGTTAGTTTTAGGTTTTTTCCATTGTGTCATTTACTTATTTGACGTGGCAGAAAGATATAGAGAATATGAAGATGAACCAATGCCAGCAAATGTTCAGTATATGTACTCGTAAGAGATATTTTTATCTAATATTAAATGGACGCACAGAACTTAGCGAATGCACAGCAACCTGGACAACCAAACCCAGAGAATATTCCAAATGAAGTTAGAATACAAACTGCAATGGCAAACTATGGTCAAGTGCCAACAGATGTACAAATGCAAACTGCCATGTCAAATGACGCTGCGTTAGGTTTGCCACCATGGTATGCAAATATGAGATGGAAAGAGTTTTATACAAACCCTGAAGTGGGATATAAACAACTTTATGCAGATGACGCGAACACAGGAGTTGACCCAGAATATGTTTTCTACCAGAGGAGAAACAGAATGTATGAGCTCCAGTTAAAGAATGCTATGGAACTCAACAGGAAACGTAAGAGACTAGGCGGACATTAGATTTTTACATATAGTAAAATGGGTTTCTTCAGTAGTATTGGAAACTTCTTTCGAAATGTTGGAAGAGGTATATGGAATGGAATAAAAACCGTAGGAAGAGGAATTTGGAACGGAGTCAAAAATATTGGTAAAAGAGTAGGTCAGTTCGTTGGTATTATACCTAAAGACCCTGAACCAGAAGAACAAGCTCCTGTTATACAACAGCCTGAACCTGCACCACAGTCTAGTTGGCAACCAAATCCAACACCTCAACCGTATTAAAAAATTATATTTTTACCGTTCGATAGTAGTTGTATATGAAACTAAGTTCTAAGTAAAACGCGTGGTATAATGGAACTATTCTCTTTCTTCCATCTGTTGTAAACCATACTTGAAAGTCTGAAATACTTCCACTCGGTGGTTCATATAACTTTGTAGGTTTTTCGTAAAAGTCATTTGCCAAGCATAAAAAAGAGTTTTGTGCACCAGAAAATGAAGCATGAACTATAATAGCGTCAGAGTCGAAAACATTTTCATATGTTCCATTAGGGTTTGAGACTTCATAATAGTCCGGGTGTACTGGATACCATGCAGGCTGATTTAACATCCTCAAAAATCTATGCCATGCCAAGTTGTTATATTTTGTAGAAATATAAACGTTTTCTCCAAGGTCTTCTATTTTATTGATTTTAACAGTTGCATTTTTCCTGTCATATATAATATCGAGATGGTACTCTCCCTCGTCAATGTTATACTGGTTTGCATATTCGAGATAGATATCGTTTATTTTTTCTTGAAAAGCTTGAAGAGTTGTTTCTAAGTTTACAAGCAAATTCACTTGTAAAAGTTTTCCCTGTTCAAATTTCTCATACGTATGTTTTTCTTTGTTATAGTATCGAATTTCAAAAGCGACCGTAAATGGGAAACCATGTATGGCTTCTGAAATGAATTTCATTCTACGAAAGCCAATAGCTTTTGTGACGGATGGGTCTCTTAGCCATCTTAACGGGTAGTCAAAACGATAGCCTTCATGCTTTACGGTCTCTGTCTCAAACTTTTGACCGACATTCGTAAAAAGTTCATCTAATGGTTTAGTTGTAGCAACTCTAGAATTTTCTTTTTCTATTGAAAGCATATTTTATCTAGAATAAAAATGTCGAAAGAAACAGCGTCTATGAGAGAAATACAACACAACCGACAACTCATTTTGCAAGCTCTAAATAAGAACACAACAAACTTTTCAAACTATTCTAAGATATCTGAGTCATTGAAAGAAGGAAACTTAAAACTGACATTAAACCCAATGACAGACGAGTTTCTGTTTCAAGACAGTAAGAACCATACTGTCTGTATAAATCCAACAAAAGGAACTTTAAACGAGAAACCTATAAATGAACTTCTTTTGAAAGCAGATATTGACAACAAAGCTGACAAAGAATATGTCATTGAAAAAGTTCAAGAAGAACATGACAGAGCAGATGCAACATATGCAACGAAAGAACATACTCATCCTGAACTAGCGGACAAAACATATGTTGACAATAAAATGTCAAGTGAAGTGACAAGAGCTGAAAACGAATATTCTAAAAAGACTCATACACATACCATTGCAAATATTACAAACTTACAAGAAACCTTAAACAGGAAAAGTGACGTTGGACATACACATACCATTGCAAATATAACAAACTTACAAGAAACCTTAAACAGTAAAAGTGCCGTTGGACATACACATACCATTGCAAATATAACAAACTTACAAGAAACCTTAAACAGTAAAAGTGCCGTTGGACATACACATACCATTGCAAATATAACAAACTTACAAGAAACATTAGAGACAAAAGCAGATAAAACATATGTCAATGAAATATACCAAAGTTTAGTTGGAACAACAAAAAATATTGAAACTATTGTTGGTGACTTTTCTATCTATGAAGAAAACAAATATTTTAGATGGGAGTTTGTACAGTCTTTAAGAAATGGTATACGGTGTAAACTCATTCCGAAAAATAACAATGAAATGTATGTAAGCTATAAAAAGAACGATGGTACACAAGTTAAAGTTCCATTAGACAACAACTGCTACTTAAACTTCTATGGAGACGAACAAAAGAAATATTTAAGAGTTTATGAAATGGCAGATATGACATTGCCTGACCCAGCTCCAGCACCATACTATTATGACTATGGTGTTGACGTCAGAACACTACACGCAGACCCAAAAAAGCAAACATTCTATTTAGATTTTTATAGATATAAAAGATATAATGCAATAGAAAAAACGAGAATAGTATACTATTATACAGATGACAGAAATAAATATTATAGTCAAGACTTTACCTACCCTGAAAACATAAGATTATATTATAAAAAATATTCTGACACAAACCAGAAGAAACCTGAAATGGTTGCACTATATTTTAAGTTCAAAAGAGACAATCCTATAATATCTCATATGTTTGATTTCATGAACCCAGTAGGTTCTATTTACACGTCAATGGAAGCAAGAGGTCCTCAAGCAATGTTTGGTGTTGGTGCATGGGAACAAATAGTCGACAGGTTTTTGTATTGTGCAAACTCTTCAAAGGAAACAGGTGGAAGTAAAACGATTTCAGGTGAAAACCTACCTGCGCATAGTCACTACGTAAGTTTAACTACATCTCGAGAAGGTTGGCATAAGCATAGATATTGGGATTGGTCAGGAATGACAAAAGGTAAAGGATATGATGTTAAAGACGACGTTAAGTTTGCTATAAATTGTTACTGGGATGACACTCAGGGAGAAGGAGACCATACACATCGCGTTGCAGGATATACGCAAACAACGGGACAGAGTAAAGACTACATGCCACCTTACATGACAGTTTACGCATGGTATAGAATTGCTTAGTCGTCATTTTCAACTTCTTTAGCATATTCGTCAGGAGTTGTCTTATATTTGTTAGGAACTGTCTTTGAAAGTATACCACCTTGAACCTTAACAAGTTTGAAACGAGGTCTGACAATAGTAGTTTTATCTTCTGCTTGCAGTCTGTACATTTTGCCATGTTTGCCTAAAACTTCATAATATTCTCTTGTATACTTTCTTCTATTTTTACGAACACGAAGGTGAGTACCTGTCGGGTTCCCATTGTTGTCATAGTCAATAGTATTTTCATATGGGTCGCGTTTAGGTATTTCTATTTTTACTTTGTCACCTTTCTTAAGTTTGAAGCCTGGCATTCTTTCTTGTTTGTCTCTTTTGACTAAACTATTAAATATATAGTCTTTCTCTAAGTCGGGTTGTTTTTCATTTCTTCGGGGGAGTGGTTTCCCAAACCTTTTTGTTTACGGTTATTGTAAATATTTAAAACTTGTCTCATCTTTGCCATGGAGAAATGTCTATATTTGTCGTCATATGACATTTCATTTGCTTCACCACCTTGTGGTTGGTTTAAGTCTCTTAAGATTTTTATACAACTGTCAATGACACCAAGAGCAGAATGGTTTTGGTCGACAATGAAATATTGGTTTACATTTTTTGAACGCAGATAGTTTTTAATATCGTCTGATTTGAAAGAACGTTCACAGTCAGATGTCAGTTTTGTTGGATGGTATTTGTCAACGAATATTGTCAAAGCAGTTTTTACATCTAAAATATTTTTGGACTGTAATGGTATAGCTTCACAGTATCTTGTGTTTTGACCGACAAATATTAGCCAGTATGGTGGTCCATCTTCTCTATATCTCGGAATGTTTTCCAAGATATCCATAAACCAAGCATTTGGTGTTGAACTAAAGATTTTTATCATGAGTGCTTTCTTTGTTGCCTTAGAAACATAGGGGTCCTTGTTTGGATTCGTCATTTTTACCCTATAAGAAATGGGTTTATTTGGCGCATTAGCAGGAGTTGCATCCAGATTTTTGCCCGCAGTGGGAACAATAGCCAGAGGTGTATTTGGAGTTGGAAGGAAGATTTTGAGTACATTAGGTATACTTAAAGAGAAAGCACAACCTATTATACAAACTGTACAGAAAGGTTGGGATGTAGCACGAGATGCAGCAAATCTTATTCCAAATCCTGAAACAAGAGGAAAAGTTCAAGGATGGATGGACAATGTAGGAAGACAAGCAGGAAACTACTATAACAAAGCAAATGACTACTATAACCAAGCAGGACACTACATGGACCAAGGTGAAAGATTCTTTAACAGAGGATATAACCATGCACAACAATGGGTAAACAATAACCAACCTCAACCGCCTCAAACGTGGGGAATGTAAAGATTTTTACTGAGATGAAATGAACAATACAGCATTGAGACAAATGGGTTCAAGATGGATTTGTCGGCTTCCAGCAGTTACACAACCACGTGTTTGTCAAGTTCTTCCTATACCTCAGGAAGTTTTAGACCGACTTAAAAAACCTAAACAACCAGTTGAAAACAAAACAAACTAAAATTTTTACTGAGATGAAATGACCGAAGAAGTTGAAACGGTAGATTTGACACCACAAACAAAAAGTTCAGAACCATTGTCAAAACCTGTCAAAGAACTTACAGATGAAGAGAAAAATTCAATAATAGAAAGTGCCAGGTCTGGAAATACAAACCCTAACTACAAAGTCACTTTTCATAGAAATGGAACGGCTAGTATCTCAAAAAAGAAACAGACTCTCACAAATAAAATATTGAAGTCTGAAGGAGCTTTCGAGACAACAGATGGAAAAGTTTACTTCACTGACCAACAGTTCATTATAGAACATCTCATTGACTTAGAGTCGAAATATTCTAAACTTTACAACAAACACAAAAAGTTGAAAGGAAAACAAAAACAAATGGCATATGATATTTATGAAGATGTTGACGACACAACTGTTCCTGCAGGTGAGGTAAAGTCAGAGGAACCGAAAAGTGACGAAAAACCGATAGAAGAAGAGAAACCAAAAACTGAAGATAAACCAAAACCAAAGTTTAGTTTCCAAACTAAACCAAGTCAACCTTCATTAGCTGGTATGGGTTGGCGTCAAAGACTTATGGCAGCAGGTGGTTATGTAAAGTAAAGAAAAAAAATATTTTTTTATTTTTATAAAAATGCCCCCATATAGAATGGATAGAAAATCTGCTAGAATAAAAGCAGAGTTGCAAAGATATGGTTGGAGAGTTTCGAAGAATTTTAAATATAGGAAGGGAAGACCCATAAAAGTCTATGACAAATTGTCTGGTCTTCGCTACGAAATGGACTTAGAAACAGCACGCGCAAATTATCCAAACAGACTAGAGAGGTTAGAAGAAGAACGTCTTATGGACATGCCTTTCGATGTTAGTGAACCTCAAGTTGAAGGACACGACGGCTTTGCCAGATTCTACTGGAAACATGACGAACAATTGCATCCTTTGAGAAGGAAAAAAGGAAAAGGTGAAGACGCACATGCTCCCATGGAAAGAACAAGATATGCATATGAAAAGTATCGTGAAGTTAGAAGTCAAATTACATCTGGTCGAACCTTTACAGTAAACTTTGACGAAGGAAAGAACAAAGAAGGCTTCATGGGTGTACTTGCTGCCATACAAGACGGAAATAAGAAAGGATACAATCTCAGACTAACCGTAACAGATTTAGATGGTCACATTTACTATGCGCATGGCAATGAACAAACAGCCGCACAACTTCTTGACGCTTTCAAGACTACAAAGAGAGAACAAATGTTGACTCCGACTCAGACATTTTGAATGCAATTGAAGGAATTGCAAGTGTCAAGTTCGAATGGTACCAACCTAACCCTCAAGCAGTCAGACAACATGCTGGATACTTCCCGTTCAGAAATAAGTCTGACATTGACTTGACAAGGTATGGAATTTACAATTCAATTGAAACAATTGTCAATGAACCTTGTATTCTTACATGTCTCAGGAACTCTGGTCTTGTTACAGATGAGAAAATGAAGTATCTTGAGTCATGTGTGAAGACAAGGTACATTCTCAGAGGTCAATTGGCAAAAGTTGCACCGTTGGCAAATGTCAATATCCGAGTCAACATTCCGACTGAGAAAGGTTCTTCACATGACGACTATGTTGTTGACAAAGACTTACCATGGTTGAAGATTGTAATTGTCCACAACCACTTCATGTTGAACGAAAGTCTTACAAACCCATTGTTCGGAAAAGGCAAGTGCAACATTGTCAGAGCTGTAAACATTCTTTTCGAGAAAGGTTTGTTGGAACCAATTCCAGATGACAAGCTGACAGAAACTTTTGTACCAAAAGACGAAACAAACTTTTCATTGTTAGTAAGACCAAAAGTTGTTCCAGACAAAGTTATAGCACAAAAGAAGTACACAGCTCCAAAAGGAGTTGGATTGTTCGGATACCAACCTGAACCAGAAGAACTTCCAATGAGGTTGCAAGAACTTCAAGATGCTATAAACAAACTTCCATTGAGACATCCAATCGACGTCAAATTGTATTGGAGAGCATCAGAGTTAGGTCAGAAGATTTTATATGAAACAGGTTGCTTTGACGATGTTTATGAGATAACAGGAGAAGTTTCTCAAAAGATAAGAGACTCACTTGAATTTCCACAAACTGGTCCGATTGGATGCGACAAGTTCGACTCATACGAAAAGATATACTATGTCGACCTTAACGCTGCGTACATGAGGTTTGTCCAATATATTCCGACTGGAATTCCAAACGAAGATGGTGAGTTCCCGGGAAGGAACTATACAGTTGGAAAAGTCATACAACAACTGTATGATATTAGGAAAGCTTCAAACCCCAAACTTGCAATGACACTCAAATTGCTTATGAATTCGACATGGGGATATTCCATTAAGAAACCTCAAGCGATGAAGAGTAAACACTATGAGAAGGTCGACAACTTTGTTGAAAGGTTCTCCCCTTTTGTTTTGAAATACGAATTTACTCAAGGTCAAAGTGGCTCAGTAACCACAGTAAAACCTATTGTCGAACATTGGTCTTATCCTCAGTTCGCAAAGGCAGTCCTTGACAACTACAACAAATTCTTCTCCGAAGTCAAATCCAAAGTTGTGGTTTACTATGAGAACATCGACGCACTCATGACGAACAAAGAAGGCTATAACAAACTCATTGAAATGGGTTAAGTCGGTGAAAAGATGGGTCAATTCAAATTGGACAAAATTTTCACCGAAGTTCATGTCCTCTCCAAGCGTAAGTACTGGGGCATACTTGAAGACGGCACAGAAATAAAACATTGCATGAAGTAAAAAATTTTTATTTGAATTTGAATTTAAATGTGGGGAATTCTTGGTCTCAAACTCATATATAACCTGTTTGTCTGTATTTTCGTCGACTATGGCACGAGACACGAACATTGACCAAACGGACAAAAAGTGTCATTTCAGATGGTCACGCAGCCAATCGCATTCGAGCACTTCGAAGAAGCCTTACGTTCCAAGGGAGAGGGTGTCTGGTGCAAGGCAGAGGTCATGAAACTCTACGAGCAGTACATCCTCAATGCCTGGGAGGACAAATCGTCCTTGGATTGGCAATTCTACCAACTCCTCTGGGACGACCTCCTAGGCAACTGGGATGACGAAAGAGTCCAATTCAGGGGTCAGGAACTACTTGTCCAAATTCTCATTAATTTAAGCTACTTAACTAAATAAACACCTAAATTTACTCGGGGTTTCCCCCTAAAATAAAATTTTTTTACTCTTAGAACCACTCGAGGTTCTCCTTACGGTTGTTGAGCTTGTCACCGTCAATGTGTCTGACCTTCGTCTTCTTGCCTGGATTTGGAACCCATTGAATTGCGACAAGCTTGCCCATGGAGATTGAACCGCGATTCCGAAGGTTAAGGTTCAAGTGTCCCAAGTTGTTGAGGACTGGGGTAAGAACCTTGCCTGTCTCCTTGTTGCGGATTTTGTATGGGTAGGGTTGGGAAATTTCATAACTGTCATCGGCAACAAGGGTTGCCCAAACTTCCTTTTCTTCGTGTTTCTCTTCTTCTTCCTCTTCTTCTTCGTGTTTCTCTTCTTCTTCGTGTTTCTCTTCTTCCTCGAAAATTCCTTCTTCAATTTGGTACTCACGAATTACGGTGTTGGAGGTTCTGTCCTTTCCGAGTACCTTCCAGATGGCGTCTATCTCTTCGAAGAAACGGTAGATGAGTCTGGCAAGGTCTCGGTTCTCTCTCGCGTAAATGCGCAAGGTTTCCGTCAAATCATTCAGGCATTTCTCATTGGAAGCTTGGTTCATGAGGACATCGGCTTTGAGCTTGGTCATCTCTTCCATAAGACTACTTTGGAGAGTCTTAACGGTGTTTGTCAGATGAGCTTTCAAATTCAAAATTTGAATTTGAACTGGGCGCTTGTCTGGCAACATTGAAAGGACATCTGCCATTGTGTTCGGCTTCGGTGCTTGTTCGGACATCGAAAAAATGAAGTGGTTTGAGAATGGCGGTTTTACTTCAAAAAGCTTGTTATGACAGTTATGTCATACAACAAGTTTAAAATAATATCTTGTTCTTCTTCTGAACGTTTGTTGTCTCTTCCGATAAAAGTTTCGAACATGAGAACCAAAAAACGTTTTTTGAGATTGCGGAAGAGTTCAGGCAAACGTTCATATTCTGGATATGTTGGGAGCAGTTCAAAACATCTGAGCTGACTTTCGGACAAAATTGGGACAATGTCAGAAAATTCATCTTTGGTCGGACTGCATGAAGGTAAGTCCCTTACATGTAAGTAGCTCTGGTAAAGTCTTCTCATTTCTGCTAACTTTTGGAGTATAGCTTCGTAGTTTAGAAGTTTTAATTTTAATTGTCTTATTCCACTCTTTACTTCTAAACGGTAAGTATCCATGAGGTCAAGAGTAGCTTTGGTAGCTTTAAGTGGAGCTATCTGTTCCTTGACTCCTGCAATTTTGGTTGCAATTGTGATTTGAGCTCCTTCAAGTTCGCCGTCTATGTCGTTCTCAACACCTTCAACCATAGCTTGAAACTCTTCATCGGTCCATTGAGATTGGTGTGGGACGAATTTAACTTGCTTCATTCAAAAAATGAAAAAAATGTTTTTACTCAAAACGTTAAGGTTGACTGAACTGGTTGGATGTCGCCTTCACAGGTTATGTAGAACGGCTGACCCGAGAAGTGAAGGAGAGACTGAATTGCCAATTTCATATGGGGTAGGGGGTTCTCCTTGTTTGGTATTTTTATCCAAGGACGTTTGTTTAGGAACTTAACAAGAGCTTCTCTTTTGGCGTCCTTTATGCCATCGTAGGCTGTCCCGTCTGGTATTTGAATTGGAATTCCAGTCGAAGTCTCGAGCTGAAGTGTAGACCTTCCAGAAATAGTGGTGAACTTGACCTTGGGCTTCATTACCCTGCGCAAGTACTGCTTAACAACTTCATTTATCTCTATAAGGTAAATTGCCTCGTCAAATCCTTCTGGTATTCCGAGTCCTTCCATCCGACAGGAAAATATTTTCCCGACAACTGGAAAAAATTTTCCCGACGACAGGAAGGACTCTTCCAGTTGTCCGTCCGTAAACCATTCAAATTTTCGAAAATTGAGAACTTTTGGTCGAACTTCAGAAAAAGTTTTTCCTTCCGACAGGAAAGGTTTTTCCTTCCGACAGGAAAGGTTTTTCCTTCCGACAGGAAAGGTTTTTCCTTCCGACAGGAAAGGTTTTTCCTTCCGACGGTTAAGCCACAAACAGATGTCCGACGTACCACCAACCGAGCCCATTCCCAAACCAGAGGAACCTAAAGCACCAGCCCCTGCACCTCAGCAACCTCAGTTCCAGCAAGTCCCTCCACCAAATTACTACCAATTTCCACCTCAAGGTTACTACCTACCACAAGGCTTCCCGAACTACCCTCCTCCTCAGCCTATGCCTTACTTCCCCAACCCTTGGATGTTTATGCAAAACCCTGCCCCACAATTCCAATCTCAATCCAAGAGAGACCAAGAGTTCGAGGAAGGTCTGAACCGCTTACGCAAAGAGTATGCTACTACCCCAATGGAAGAAGACAGGCTTTCAGTCTCTTCCCTCAAATCGACCGATTCGACTCGTACCACAGATTCGGTTCGTGACCGTGAAGACTACCTCAAGCAGTCTGAGAGACTCTTCATCCTACAACCATTTACAGTTGGAGCTCTCAAGAACATGCGCAATTACGAAGGTCAGACACCAGCTGGAGACCGCAAAACAGACGTACTCGCAAGAGCAGTCCAACTCGTCAAAACAAAGACTGAGATAGTCGACTTCATTCTTGCAGCTTGCCCATACAAGTAAAAAAATAAACAATTACGAGTTAAACTTTTTATTCTTTCTTTTCTGAGTTGTTTAGAGCTGGTTTCTCTTGTAGAAACCTTTCGTACTCTTCCATGGTCATGTAATTGCGAATTTGGTACGCAATTCCAGGTTCGTTGTTTTTGAACCTTACGTATGTAACGCTTCCATCCTCCTCAGGGAAGTAAGCTGCTAACATCTGACCAAGTTTTCTCGGTGACTCGGAGCTCATAAAAATGTCACTTTTTAAACGTTAAGTTTTTAGTCTTATTTTACCCTTTGTTTACCCTTTGTTTGTCAAGGTAGTATTGGAGTGCAATTTCTCCAAATTCTCTGTGTCGGAGTTCTTCAGCATTTTCCAAGGTGTCCCTGGAGAACTCAAAGAAGTTGTCAAGAACATACTGCCATGCTGCTCTTCTGAGTTCGTCGGTATTTTGGAAGTGTTGCACCTTCGAGTCTTCGGACATGAAAAAATGACACTTTTTCTATTAAACCGTTTTGGCATTTCTCATGAGTGAGTATAGTTCTGCCGAACCATTGGAAGAGAAGAAGTACCCTTGCTGGCAAAAGACAAAAATAGTTGCCTTAGTTGTCATTGCAATTGTACTCGTAATTGAATTCATTGTACTTCTCTTCACGTACATAAAACTCAGCAATGGTATTTGCTTTAAGAAGCTACCATCTTACTAAGACTAAACACTTACATTTTTCAAGCTTGACTTTTTACAATTTGAATTTTGTTGCTGAATTCAGCAAAAATATAATTTATGTTAGAATGTTAGATCTAACATGTTTTCTAACACGTTTTCTAACATGGTCTAAAACTCTCGAAAATCATGAATTTTACACCAAAAATAATGTTTATGTTAGAATGTTAGATCTAACATGTTTTCTAACACGTTTTCTAACATGGTCTAAAACTCTCGAAAATCATGAATTTTCCCGAAATAAAAAATAAAGTTGGTTTTTTTAAAAAAATATTTTTTATTTTTATTGTAAGAACATGTTAGCAACAACAGCACCAAACTCGTTAGTCATGAACCCAACTTCAATGTTAGTAGAGATGAAAAGCTTCATTCCTTCTTCATATACTTTCGAAACAAAAATCCAGAAGATAAAGCAAGAACTTTTAACAAGTAATTTAGACTGTAGTGCGAAAGATGAAACAAATGAACAGTATCTTTATGAAATGCAGGATATTATTGACCATTTACCTAAACTTCCTGAAATCCAACAACAAAAACTCACTATTCCAGAATTCGATGAAATAGAAGTCGGACTGACTGACTCAGTAGAAATAAAGAAGTTCATACGAAAGGTTAACTATGAGTTTCTTGGATTTCATTGCAACCACAAAGTCATGGACAAAGACTGCGACATGGTATATAAGAACATCTCTGACCTTTACAAATCCGAAGAATTTAAGACCTACGACAACTTTGTTTCATTAGTTGCAAAATGTGTTTGGGAAATAAGAGATAAAGATAGTAGGGGTAAGGTATGGAACGAACAAATAAAACCCGCTATGTTCGAGATGAAGAAAACCATTGACGCCTTAGTTGTTTTAGCAGGTAAGGTTTCAGAATATAACGCAAAAATGAACCCACAATGTTCTAAATGTAAAGCAGCAATGAGGAAATATAACTACTCCGTCAAAGAGATAGAACGTATGCGAAACGACTATGCAGATTTAAAGAAAGAAGCAGAGAAACCAGCAGAAGATAAAATGGACATGTTGACATTTCTAAACAAAAACTATCCAACAGCTGACGATTTCCTTCTATCTGACGTCAAGAAGAAGTATAAAGAAACTTTCGGTATCGTTAAAACATTCGATGTACTGACAGAAGAAATAGAAGCTACGAAATTGTTTAGAGTCATGAACCATCGCAACATATACCATGTAAAACGCTTGTAAATAGTTATGTTAGAAAACATGTTAGAAAACATGTTAGATCTAACATTCTAACATAAACATTATTTTTGCTGACTTTTTACAATTTGAACTTTGTTCGCGTAGATGTGAATTCTGAAAGAAGTATGAGGGTCTTGTATGACTTTGTACTTCTCCCATAGTTCATGTCTGTCAAACTTACCTGCCATGGACTCTTTCATAAGTTCCATGAAATCGTCTTCGGACAATCCAGGGAAAAGTATGATATCAGTAAGTATTCTTTTAACATCCTTACTTAAACTCTTTGCTGTCTGTACACAAATGACAACTGAGATGTTAAAGTGTCTGAGCTTCTTAAGAATTCGACACATGTCTTGTTCTCTGTTCTTTAACAAAGGATGAGAAGCAAAGTCATCTAAGATAAGAAGACATCTATGAGGGTAAGTCTTCCAATCGTAAGATTGCAATTTCTTCGAAATGTATTCTATCTCTTTCTGTTTGTTTCTGAAGTGTTTCTTCTCTAATATTCTCTGCATTTCCTCATTTGGGTCTTTAAACTTAGAATTATACTCATTTATAGCATTATACTTCAAAACTCTTCTTTGGTACTTCTTTATCCAATCTAACAACTCAGTATCCTTTATACATACTAACTTAGACTTTTTATAATATCTTTGAACGAATTGACGGTTTGGTCAAATTGACCAGAAGTACTACAAATAACAACTAACTCATAGAATGGGTTCTTCTCATCTAGTTCTTGTTGTTGTGCAGCCATTTTAAGATAAGTGAAAGTCTTACCCGACCCAGGTGGTGCAATTAGACCTGTTATACCATTCTGAGCAAATAAGAACTTGTCATGTATAGGTTTTATCTGAGCATTTTCTAACTTCCTCTTGTTCTTGTTTAAAACATTCTCAAATTTCTTGTCAATGTCAGCAAACTTTTTTTCTAACATATTTTTAGAAAAATTAAAATTTTTATTTTTGAAAATGTCTAGCGATTTCGCTATCTATATTCGAGACAACTTTTCGACAGCAAAACATCTGTGACCATAAAATCTTACATAGTGTAAACAAGAAAGGTGAATTTGTTCTAAAGTTCTGTTTCTGGGAATATGACAAGAACCATAAAACATTAAGCAGAGAAGTCTTAAAATTTGTCAATGACAGACTTGTTGACAGAGATGACGCCGATTGGAAAGATGAAGTCCAACAAAAGTTCTTAGAATGCAAAGAAGACACATGCGCTGTTCTTGAAGATGAAATAGAAAACAGAATAGAAGAGCTATTAAAGGACAAAGACTTTTACAAAATATGGTTCTGAGAAGTTTGACATAACTCCACCAGAGAAGAAGAAGAAGAGAGAAGAAAGAAAAGAAAGTAGAAGAAGAGAAGAAAGAACCTGAACCAGAGAAAAAGAAATTTGACATGTAAAAATAAAATTTTATTTTTAGAACATTTCTGGGTCAATGTCAATGTTCTCTTCCTCTTTAGGAGCAAACACTGGCTTAGACTCTAAAATCTTTTTACCCAATTTACCTTGAACTTCAACTATCTTAGACTCATAATATTCATAGTCGTCTGCTTTCTTTGGTTCATAAGGTATAACAAGTTTGTATGCTTTGCCTTCTTTAAGGTTTGAGAACTTTCTGTCAAAATTTTCTTTGACTGCTAACAAACCTTCTATGTCTAAGTCTTCAAATTTCGCACCATTTTTAGTCACAATAGCAAACTTAACTGGTTCGATGTTCCAAACTTTGTCAAATGTAGACTTTTCAAAATGGTAGAAGTAAACATTCAAATAGCGAATGGGTCTAGTTCTTCTTTGACTTCTGTCATGTACTTTTACTGAGATGAATTTT